TTACTCCGGTACGTGGCACACAACCGATAACCTGGCCCGATACAAGGAGGAAGCATAGAAAAGACAGGCTAACACATATGGACATCAGACAATGGCCCAGTTCAAGGACTTCCAAAGATATGTCAAGGGCGTGGACCCTTACGGCATGCAGTCGGGTATCGTCCTCATCGATCCTCCTGAAGAATGGTATGCCACTTCTCTTCCAAGACATGCTGCCGCCCGGCCGACATGACATTTGTTCTTCGAACACCAGGCTGATTACATATATAGGAAGCGCGCTCGGAAGGCTCTGGACGAAATGGTCAAGACCATCAGAATTAAAAATCCCATCACCCAGGAATTCCACGGTGCACAAGGGATCTACACCCAAAGAAATATGGAAAAGATGCGGTCTTATACCCTTCCACAATGGAAATCCCTCTGCGAGCAGACCGAAAACCAACCACCCGCCAAGCGTGGTGAGAAGCGCCTAAACGCTGACAAATTACTTGGACGAGGAACCGCTCGCAGCAGGAAAACCGAAGCATCAGCAACACCCGAGGCTTCCAGAAGAGCCTCGAGTCGCGCCAAATCCATTCCTATCAAAGAAGAACCCGCCGACCATGATTCTACCCTCCTTGCCCCGCCGACGCCCACCAGTCCCGAGGTGAAGCCAACGGGTCTGGAAAATGAGGAAGCAGATGATGAGGCGGCTTCCACAACTGCTGACCCAACTCCAACCAAGGCCAAGAGAGGGAGGGGCAGACCACCTGGCACTGGCAGACCAAGAGGACGGCCACCCAAAACCGCCAACAAGAAGGAAACTTCGAGTGTTGGCAAAGGGGCAGAGACCACTGTTGCCGCTCGCCGATTGCGGAACGCCCGGGAGGCCATGGATGAAATCGACGAGGAGGCTTTCCGGGATTTTGATTATAGGGTATACGACAACGACCAGTGGACGCCCGAGCGGTGCGACGAACTCGAAGAGAAATACTGGAAAAGTCTGAACTTCAGCAACCCCATGTATGCTGCTGACATGCCGGGCTCTTTGTTTGATGATGATACCAAGGAGTGGAATGTCGCAAAACTACCAAACTTGCTGGACCTTTTAGGACAACCTATCCCTGGTGTCAATACTGCCTACCTATACCTTGGGATGTGGCGAGCAACTTTTGCATGGCATTTGGAAGACGTGGATCTCTACAGTATCAACTACATCCATTTCGGTGCTCCAAAGCAATGGTACAGCATATCTCAAAAGGACGCCCCCAAATTCGAAGCGGCCATGAAGTCTATCTGGTCCTCAGATGCTAAGGACTGTGATCAGTTCTTGCGCCACAAGACTTACCTCGTCTCGCCTGCAATCCTGAAATCGAAGTTCGGGGTCAACGTCAATAAAGTTGTTCATCGCGAAGGCCAATTTGTCATCACCTTCCCCATTGGATATCACTCCGGCTACAATTTGGGTTACAACTGCGCAGAGTCTGTCAATTTCGCAATTGAAAACTGGTTGCAGTATGGTAAGACAGCGCGCAAGTGCCAATGCGAAGCCGACAGTGTCTTCATCGATGTGGACTGGTTTATTCGCCGGATGAACGGCGAGCCTACACCTGAGTTTGAAGAAGTTGAGGTTACCGACGACGAAGATGAGGACGAACCAACAGACCTTCCCACGCCTCCCAGTAGCGATAGAGGCAGGATCAAGATTCCACAGAAGAGAAAACGTGCTGTGAAGGAGCTCGCTCCCAACAAGAAGGCCAGGAAAATCATCAAGATCAGAAAAGTCAGCAAGAACCAGCCCTGCTGCCTGTGCCCGAACGACTTCTCCTGGGAGGAGCTTTTGCCGACGACACAAGGGCAGCGTGCACACAGAACTTGTGCTATGTACACGCCAGAAACTTACATTGCTAGCAATGACGGCAAAGAAATGGTCCATAATGTTGAGAACATCAGCAAAGATCGTCTGGAACTCAAATGCCACGAGTGCCGGCAGAAAAAAGGATCGTGCTTTCAATGCTCATCAGCAAAATGCACCAAATCGTTCCACGCGACCTGTGCAATGCAAGCTGGTGTTCAAGTCGACAAGGGTGAAATCGCTGTCTGGCACGAAGGGGTGGAGTATCGCGATATCGGCTTCGACTGGAGATGTCGTCTGCACCGTACGGTCAAACGCACGAGAATCACCAGTGAACTTTCGGCCTGCAATCACGCAAACAATTGCTGGCAGAATGCTGAGTTCCGACGGTTCCTTTTCGGCCTCAAGAAAGGGGAGCTCATTCAATTTCAGGCAACCAATTTCGACGATATTGAGGCTGGCCTGGTTATTGCTGGGTACGACGAAGGTCAAGACTCTGTTCTTGTCAAGGTTTTGCCAGATCTCAAACAGGTGAAAGAAGTAGATCCCACTTCGATCCTGTTCGTCGACTCCGCCACCTCGTATCTACAGAAGCCAAGTGCAAATGCGCTCGACTTGCCGGAAGAACTACAGGGCATGACTGCTTCACTACCCGAGTCAACCGAGAAGAAGCCAAGTCCAGGCGACCTATTCACCGAGGAGCCAAGAACCGAGTGGGCAGAATTTGTCTGTTCTCTACCTCCCGTGAACAAAGCACAGAAGCCCGTTGACCTGGCCAAGGAGAAACAACTGTGGTTGTACCTTGGAGAGATTTCGTCGGAAGGAAAGGCATTCTACACGGCCGATCCTGACAAACAGGTTCATGACCCTGCCGCAAACTTCCTCGACATGGTCATGCCTTCCAAAAAGGCAATGGCACCACCACCTCAACCCAAGCGGCAGGCGTTCTCGGCTTCCCATCCACTAGTTAATTTTGCCGCAAAGAATGCTGCAATGGCAAGCATTAGGCAGAATGTCGATAAACAGCATTTACAGAGTTCAGCCCTTCCAGGGACTTTCAGCGGAACGACACAAGATCTCACGATGGGAAGCAATCAAGCACGGCCCATCAAAGCCAGCCAGATCAAACCGTCGCAATACAAAGACATCATGACTGGCCAAGAAGCTCGCCTGAACGAGCAGGCGCGGATCTTCCAGCGACAACAAGCCAAGGTCCGCCAGCTTGACGCCGCAGAAGGCTCCAGTACCTCCATCCGTCATGGTGGCATTGGGATTGATCTCGAAGCTGTCCAGCGCCAGAGGCATTTCCAACAACAAGCATCTCAACATGCTAAGCATATGAAGGAGTGGTCAAATGATCCATCGCTGCCCCCGCTCAAACAATACGACCCCTTCCCGAGCTTCACTGCACTCGACAGCACTGGGCGTTACGGTCCTTCAATGATGAATTCAAACATCAGGTCACAACAGTACGAATACAGCAGCGACTGGATGAATCCTAGCGCCACAGAGCGGAGCCCCAGTTATGGACATGGTCCAAATTCAGGTCTCAACTCGATGCTTTCACCCCAATATGGCCAACCCCAATCCCCTGCCACTTCTTCCTTCCCTTCATATGTGCAACAATCCCACCTTCAATTTCCGTATCACAGCGATCCGAGTCACAGTCCCCCGGGAACTTCAACTCCAAGCACACCATATCAACAGCCCCGCATCGAAACCATCCGTGCAGCCGCAAGCCAACCACCTCTGCCTCCACCTTCTGCCGAAGTCGAGCGTCGACGCCGGATTTCCAACCCAGCTTACCCATTCAAAAGCCCCGATCAAATCAAGGCTCAAAAGGAGGCAGGAAAGCACTCTCCATCTGGCAGCAGGCCGAGCAGTTCGTACATGATGCCCAGTCCCAGCCTGCAGCAACATGACACCTCGCCTTCATTTATGCAGCATGCCAACTCATCCGCTACGAGCCCTTCGATGCAACCACTAGATCCGCAGAACCCACCTCAATTTATCAACCCAAATGCTACGCAGATCAGCCCACCAGGGTCCAGTGCAGGACATCGCTCTGCGAGAGGCAGTTTCTCTGGATTAGGTTTGTCATCAACCGTCTCCCTCCCTTTGAGTCACATGGGAATAAAAAGGAGCGCGTCGATGGACATGATGGATTTAGACATGATGCATGATATGGCGCCCTTCCCTGCTGCGAGTATTGGTCTACAAATCAGCAATTACATTCCCAAGCGCTCAATTTTCGATCCTCTCAACACGACTGTCCATGGTGGCATGATGCAGCCAAAGCCTCAAGTCCCACTTCCCAAGCCAATTCTGCCGCATTCTTCGACAATCCACTTCTCTCCTCCGCCTCCTATGGCCGATCCGTCACCCCTTCTTGTCCAGTCTCTGGAGAAACGTCCACTTGGACCGACTGGGTTACTGGTCAACGATCGCCCGATCCCGAAACAGCTAAGCGATTGGTCTGCAAAGGGTGGTTTCTGGGCGAGGGTTGCAGGCTACTATATTCAGAAACATAAGGGAATGGCTAGTGTTTATCGAAGCCCATTCATCGCAGTTAAGGACAAGGTTGGGCTGGATAGTTGGGAAGGCGGCCTGGCGGAACGTTACTACGACAGTCTAGAGCCTTCGGAGAGGGAAAGGATTGATGCTTTCAGGGACGGTAAAGCTCAATCATGAAGGGGGCCAATGCATCAAGGCTTTTCCTTAGCCAGCTCAGCGTTTGGTGAAAGACAGACACAGGGCTATGCCAGTGGCGCGGATTCCTGCCTTGTTTGCCACCAAATCAATTTCTGTCGAAATGACTTTTGATTGTTGATGCAGGAAAACCGTTGGATCGTTGAAGCCGAAGGGTGATTGACGGAACGAGAAGGGATCAAAGATGAGGATCGCGAACAAGCAGGATGGATATCATGTACAGGGAACCCAGGAGGGAAAGCGGTTCCCATCCATATGTTGATTTTGGGCTTTTATGAGAAGTCGAAAAGGCCTGTTCATTCATTTACTCAATCTGTGTGATCGGACAGCTCCGATCCAGCAACATCCTTGCAGCTTTGGTACTTGGTACAGCAGTAAGTAGCAAAGACAAATATGAAGTCCCGAATGGAAAAATGAAAAGATGAAAAGATCCAAGATCAAGATCAAAAGTAGGGAGTCAGCCAAGAGTACGGCCGACAAAACGCCCATAGCGCCCAGCCAGTACCGCCCTGTGGTTGCGAGTGCGCTTGGCCGGTCTGGTTGTGTCGGTCATGGCCGTAGCCTTCACGTGGCATCGTATCGACGCAATGTTTGCAGTGTTTTGCGCTTGGATCGCTTTCTCGAGAGCAAGCTGATAGTAATGGGAACTCTGGGCGCGGTTCTGCCGGACGCCATACATGTGGCCCATGTCGGAATATGTCTGCTGGAAGAATCGAGCACGGTCGTCATCATGCTCGTAATTGTTACACATGGTCAGCATCTTGAGAAGGATGGGCTCGTCAATGTCTACGGTTAACCGAAATGCGTCCGGATGTAGATCGAGGTGAATCTTCTCGCCTATCGGTGTGATTTCGGTCGTTCTCCGTCCTCGTCTGCGCCACTGGGCGGCTCTGCTGCTAAACCGTCTGATGGGATCCCATTTGATGGGTTTCCCATGCAGCTGGGCCGTAGACAAGGTTAGATCCGTGCGTTCAGATCGCGCCAACGCCATCAAGCCCACGACCGCCTCTTTCTTGGTCGACTTGTAGTTTTTGAACGCTCCCCACATTGCTATCCGTCTCTCGAAGGCCTCCCCGATTCTGACCTGCGAAATCATAGAAAACATCAGTACCTTTCTACAACATCCACTCCCGTCGCCTCCTTTAACTCCAGGGGATGCTATCGGATCGGATCTTGACACTGTCACCCAAGCAACACGAACTCGAAAAAGATATTCGTCATCTACCGAGTCCTCAGCTCGTCATGACACGGGCAGTCCTCAAAAGCGCCCTCGTGGAGCCACGAAGGAGACATGGAAGGCTAGAGAGGCCAGGGAGGCACGAGAGGCACTAGAGGCCCAGCACTATCATACATCATCAGGTTCTTCCCGCCCAAAACAGGCTCACTTCGTTTATCCCCGTCGCGGCACGGGCGAAGTGGACGGCAAGGTGGCAGACATCGAGGATGTATATCTAGGTGCGGATGGGTTCATCCAGTGCGTTGTCACTTGGAAGCCATCATTGATCGACATGGAGTAGGTCGTTGATGGAGAACTACGGCAGCGCTGCGAGCAGCTGTTCGTGAAAAGGTACGGCCACCAGGAGTTAGAGAGGTGGATGACCGTGATCTAGCGGCAGACGAAGAAAAGATGAAGACATGCCAGTTCCCCTGCATCTTCTAGGGAGTATGGGTTGGAAGATGGAACGACCATCGTAAGTCGGCCAAAGGCTTGAATCTTGGCACCAATGCGGCACCCCGACCAAACGCGCGTAACTGCCACTTCCTCATCCTCCTCTCTATCAACAAGCTCTCTTTCGAACCCTGAACCCGTCTTCAACTGTGAAAGAAAGAAAAATCCTTCTGAAATAAACAAACTCCTAGTTACCTCATTGACGACTTCATGGGAGCTTTTCCAAACTGGAACGTGACGCATTTCGACTGTGATCTTGACGAGGCCTCCTTTGTTATTCGTTCCAATAGGAAACTCTTCCACGTCTATGTCCGAGCGGAGGACTTGGCGAACTGGCCTGAAAAGGCAGAGTTTCTGCGACTGATAGAAGAAGCACCAGAAGACAATGATGCTGAGGAAGATCTGTATACTCTCATTTCAGATGCTTGCATTGCCATGTTACGGGCTCACCATTCGCTCTCGATCGATCCACGTCAATTTTCTCTTCAACAATTCTACGTGCCCGAGACACTTTACTTTGAGTTGGTGGAAGATGCGGGCAGCCTCACATACTTACCTTGGATTAAAGATCGTCCTGATCCCGTGGGATTGATTCCTCAGATTCACCTGAGCAACATTCCAGAATCCTCAGAAATCCCTCATGTGGCCGCCTCGATCACCAGGATCTTACCGACATGCGGCTCGGACGTCAACGATGTCCTATCGGACACTCCAGGCTCCGTCCTCGTGGCCGGAGATACTACCTGTTACCATTTCAAGGCAGAACAGGACCACGCGTCATTTCTTCGAGAGTTCAAGATACTACAACAAATCAAGCACAGTCGCTTACATCAAAAATACCGGCTCCCATCTATCTACGGCCTTGTCCATTACACCAACGAGCCACACAAGATTCTAGGAGTATTGATGGAATGCATCTATCATCAGGGTACGCTGGCAGATTACATTGGCACAGGCAGAATTACGCGTTCACTGAGGCAGACATGGGATAGCCAGATTCTAAATACGGTGCTTGCATTACACCGTCATGGAATCATTTGGGGAGATGTGAAGCCTGACAACGTCTTAGTTGACAACATGGAAAACATGTGGCTTGTTGACTTTGGCGGAGGCTTTAACCCGGCGTACGTAGATGAAGATCTTGTCGAGACGGTCGAAGGGGACTTACAGGGGGTGTCGAGAATAATGGGTAAGTGAGCATGAGGAAAACGGGCACCCACTCATGTGAAAGGCTGGACCAATCGAGCAATGCACTTACTCGGCCAACCTTCCTTCCCCATTAGGTCCCCAGTGGCTTACCCGTAACCCGCAGCCTTGCGACATGGCTTTACTCGACCCTCATCTCGCTGATAAGGCAACCATTGTCCATCCGAATGGATCACATGGACAAAAACTTGTGCATAAAATCCTCTGTCGCAGCACTGCATCTCAAGCGAACAGAATACCTTTTTCAATGAATTACCATTCAACACGAAGGACTAATAAGCTGGTCGACCCTTATACCCGGTAGGTCTCCGCCCTCAAAGACACCGAGGACGGCCTTGACATCGTCCGAGTTCACCAGTCCCAGTGTTTCTGCCTGGGCCCTGAATTCCTCCTCGAACCAACTGTCGCCCGACATTGTCCCTACGAATAAAACCCACAGGCGGATCCCGGGCGACTCGTGAGATATCGTAGTGAGCAATTCTTTGAGTCTCCAGAGGATCAGCCTCCCTGCATTGAAGACGGTGGTGTCGAAAAGCGGTATCCGCTCCATCTTGGCCGCCAGACGGAGTCGGTACAGAGCTGCCAAAGCCGCACATTTCTCGATATCGTTGGAGCTCGAAGTGTACTGTTCGAGTAGAAGCCTCATGATGTGAAGAAATCTGACCGTGGCGGCCTGTCGAACAGCCCATGGTGTCTCGGCCGCTCGCACCACGCTGATGGCCACGAGGGCGTTTCTCAGGTGAAGTATCAAGCGGCGCCAGGGCCATTGGATGCCATCGACAGTGTCATCCTCAAGCCACGGAAGGGGTACATACACTGCATAGTCTGCCTCGAGCATATCCCACGTGCTGTCTTCCATCGCGAACAGCGGGCTTCCTAGTGTTAGGGTGGCGCGCTGGGTGTCCGAGTGGAGGATGCAGATGAGATCCTCAGGCTTCGCTCCATACTGGTTGTTGATAACCTCCAGCAGGCGAAGGTGGACCGCCACCGCCGTATGATTGTCGCACCACGTCTCCGCGTACAGGAGAGACATGACCGGCCGACAAAGATGCGTGAGGCCCGTCTGGAAAAGGCCCAGGCGGAGTTGCTGCATCGCCTTCGTTTTCAACTTGAGGACCAGATTGAGGATCTCTGGTTTCGGGTCGCACCGCGCCTTGATCGCCGCGATGCGGGCCAAGTACCCGTACGCGGCCAGTTCGTCTTGGAGATACGTCGCCGACGGATGCAGAGGGATCGTGGTGCTGCCCATTGCCGGGGAGACATGGAGCTGGTCGAATCGTAGTAGCTCGTCGATCTGAGCCGTGTGGGGGATGGGTAAAGTGTCAAAGGGGTCGTAGGATCCAGCGAAATGGGCGTCGATCTGTGCAGTCTGCCGACCCTGGTTTTGAAATGTGTGGTACAAGTTCAGGGCCGAGACCCGCAGGTTCCGTGTGCGCTGCAGACGTTTCCATTGTCGGTGCGCAGCCACATGGCGAAACACCTGGCTCTTTAGGGACGATGGATCTGTTTGGTCGTCATGGTGTATCCACGAGTGTATTTTGCCTGCCGTCGCCATTTCCTCTTGTCATGTCTGCTGCCACTGACTTTGAAGACTTGTTGAGGGGGAAGGATAGAGGCCGTAATTTGTAAGTTCGCACTCATACTTCAGCGACGAGGGTTCGGTTTTCAAAAAATCTGCGTTTATTCAGGCGTACATCGGCTGCTTTACGACTCTCTGCCTTTCTCTCTCTCTCGCTCTGTCACAAGCAATGTCGTTAAACTCACTACCCTTAGTCACGGTTCTCCACTCTAGGTAGGCGGTAACAACACTGTAGACCAAAGGCACCTTAGCCGCAGCGTCAAGACCTTGTGGATCGCGAACTCTGGCTATTGCATAGTTGGGCTGAAAAACACATGCGACCTTGAATCTCGGGAAGAATTGCTTGGCCCTCCCGTCTCGGCGGCGGACATGGTTTGATTTGCGCTTAGCATGAGCCTTACAACGGCAACTTTTCGTTTGCTGGTCCTTGGACCGCAACCAATGCCACAAAGGGCTCAAGAATAGCGTGATTTACATCGTCTGGGATGTTTTTTCTGTGGCGTCTTATCCTCTCGGTCAGGCAAGAAGAATTTGGACCTGTGCTACCTGCCCTACAATCACACCCCAGCAGTGAAAAAGAGGCTGTGACACACGAAGCTCCCATATCTTCTTGTGTCTCCCGCGTCACGGCGAAAAGTCCCAGTGTCCTTTTTACCATGTTGATCATTCGATCGCCCTTTAGAGCCAAATGACCAGTCAAGCCTTGTGCCTGTAGACAAAGTCGACAGTAACTACTCATATCCCCTTCCCACCAACGACATTTACGTACACGGGGCCTCATTGGTGGATATTACCGGCCCGCTCGTGTCTGCATGTTGCGACGCCGTTCCTCCTGCGAAGTACAAAACGCAGTCTTGGTAACCACTTGATCACCCTCCGGGGGGGGGCTTTTAAGGGTTTAACTTCACCCCCTACAAGGACAGGTACAGGGAGTAATACCAGAATCGACAGCGAGTAACCGGTAGTACCGTATTTGCGTCCTGCTGCTACAACACCCGATCCTGTATATAGCTAGCGTTGTCAATTCGACGAATGAAACAAGGTTATGCCCCAAGACCCTTGACTGTTTTCGGAATAAGTTTCATCTCCTCTAATTGGCTCGATTCCCAGGGCAAGCATAAAGGTAGATGGGACCATTTCCAGCATCCTCTAAACGTCCAGTTATTATCTCACAAAAGCAATCTTGTTTGGCCCTCGCACTCATTCACAGAATGCGACGTCTAAGACGGCATGCTCAAGCAGCTATAATGATGCCATACAGATCCGGCATGCGAGAAGCTCGAAGAAGGTCTATCGACACCCCTCAACATACAAAAAGCTGGCTGCAGAAGGGATAGCCCACCCTTGCAAATATCAAACCCTGCACATCACCTGCGGTGCTTATTATAGCACGATCCAAGGTCCTCCCTACATGGAATACTGTATCCCCATATTCTCTTGCACTTCTCACACTTTCACTACCAATGCTGCGGGTTTGGAGCCCTCCAAGGCCCTGTTTCCATAACCATGGCTGAACAAGACCGAACCTGCACCCAGTTTTCCCTGGACATATCAATATCAGTCATTTCTCATATCACTGCTAACCGCAGCCGGT